GAGTTGTGGTGGTGAAGTTAGCAAAATTAGATTGATTGATTAACAGCAAAAGAGAGGGAAGGAAACATGGCATTTTGGGGGAAACGGGAAGATGGGACTAGGGGAGGAGGAGTAACACTACTGTCCCTTCACTTCTTCAGTCTTCACGAGTTCACGGTTAAAAAAAATGCCTGGTGGGTGATCCTCAAGGTCTCGACGAGTCTTGTGAGTCCTCGCGTTAACTAACATGAGTGATTATTGTTGTAAACTAACTTAGGCCCTGTTCTTTAGAGCTTCTAGGCAGAGCAGAGTTGATTAGATTTCAGGAGAGTAGAGCAGATTTCAGCATTATTATTATTATTATTATTATTGTCGTTACTATTATTATTATTATTATTATTATTATTATTATTATTATTATTATTATTATTATTAGATGAAGCCAGTGCACGATTTGTTTATATTTTTTCAAATAAAATATTTTACTAAATATAAATTTATCTAATAAACTTTGTGATATTCGCTTGCTTGCTACTTGATTTTTTAATTATAAAATAAATTATTAACTTTGTTTCTCATATTTAGATAAGATTTATAATATAAAAGGATAATATTTTATTTCACAAAGTTTTATATGTGGCTAGTCACACCGTGTGGTCGGGATTACTTGATCAGAAGTTACTTGGTTAGACAAGGGCTACTCAATCAATTAGGGGTTACTCGAACGGTCATAGGTTACTCAGTCAGTGTTTGAGTGTGTTTTAGCCGGCCACACGATATGACAAGCCACATAAAAAACGCACTGATTTTATTTTTATAATTAATATAAAATTTTTGATCTAAAATAAATTGCAATTCTTTTTTTCATTGGCTAAAATATAACATTTTTCTATTTGACGTTTGAAAATTAATCTTACGTGGCATATTCCTATTGTACCGTTTTAAAATTATTAATCCTATGTGGCGCTTTTTTATTATAATCCTACATAACGCTTTAAAAAAAACTAATCTTACGTGGCATAATCCGATTGTAGCGTTTAAAAAATACTAATCCTAAATGGCGCTCTAATAATTTTTTAAAAATTAAAATCCTACGTGGCACTCTAAAAACTCGGGAAAAAACTCCCCTTTATATATATATATTTAAGATTATTATTATCATTATTATTTTTATTATTAATGTTATTATTATTTTATTTTAAGTACTATTACTATTATTATCGCATTTAATTATTATTATTATTATTATTATTATTATTAACAAGTGCATACCATTGATTTAGGTGAATGAAAACATAAATAGATGTGTACCATCTTTAACATATGTTAATAGTAGAAAGATAAAAGATAAAAGGGTGACAATTTTTCAATTTTTTTGCAGCTTTTTTATTCTTTTAATATCATTAGTTATTATTATAAAATAAAATTATGTATTTAGTATTATTATTAAATATTAAGTATTGCTATTCAAAAAAAAAATAATAAGTATTACTATTCCCTAAAAGAAATATTAAGTGTTATTATGATGATCGGTAAATATTAGAAATTGTTATTGATTGTTATTATTATTATTAATTATTAACTAATATTATCATTAAATATTAATTCTTTATATTATGAATTAATAATTATTATTATTAATTATTATTATGAATATTAAATATTAAATATTATTAATATTAATAATTATTAATTATTATTATTATGTTTTTAAACACATTAATTATTATTATTATTAAATATTAATTATTATTATTGTTATTATTAATTATTATTTTAAAATAGAGCAGAGCAAAGCAGATCAGATTTGAGCAGAGCAGATTTCAGTAGAGCAGAGCAGAGCAGCTCTAAAGAACAAGACCTTAATTGGTTAATACTAAGAGGTTAAATCTCGTCAAAACTTCTTATTTCTTTTTATGGACAAACTTACCTGATGAAAAGAGTCATTTAGTGTGTTGAGTTAGGAAATGATTGAAGTTTTGGCTTTAACAATTAATGCCTATTGTTGGCAAAGCTTCAAAGGTTAGATTGTTCATTGACGCTTCTCAACTTAAGATGATTAAAGTGATGATAGTGAGCGAATGGGTATTGAAAACACACTACACCAAAAAAATATAAGAAAAAATAAAAAGTTCAAAGGGTCTCCTAATTATGGGTCCAATTCAACTGTGTCACAAGTAGATTTGCATTATCTTGTGTTTGTGAACTCAAAATGGTGGTCTCGTATTGTGTCCAACCGTGACTTTATAAGGTGGCTCATAAACAAGGGCGAAGCTACATGGGGGGCGGGTGGGGCCCGGTCCCCATGGCCCAATTTCGTGGCCTATTATTTTAACTGCTGGCTCCTATAAATTTTTAGAATAAATAGTATTCTTGTTAGTTGTTACATGTTTAGTTGTACTTAATGCTTGCCACATTGGTTTGAATCCCATTGTTTGGGGTTTTAGATCCCAAGATCAAGCCCTTTAGTGACAAAGACTAGTTTTTTTTTTTTTTTTTTTTTTTTTGAAACCCCAAATACTGATGGGCTTCGTCATTGTTGACTTGTTTATTAGTATTTTTTTGTTTTCTCAATTTTTACAATAATTTGTAAAATTCTTCTTTATAATGTTAATTGCTAAGGTTTAAGGATTAAATTCTAGCATTAGTTTACTCATCACTAAACTTTTTAAGATGATCCATTTTTCCCCCCTTATTCACCTAAGCTACTTTGTTTGTTGTTTGCTATTTATAAATAAGATAAAATATAATTAAAAATGATCTTATTAGATTCATCTCAATTTATTAATACTTCGTATATATTTTTTTTGTAATGTTTACAAAGACTTAACTAGATATATTGATGGGTAATGAAATATATTATGAAACTTGTCTTAATAAAACTAGGCATATATGCAAGAAGAACATAGGAAGTGTTTGCATATCATCAAAATTGATATGTATGTTATAATTTTGATAATTGTGATATGTAGGATATCTCAAAGAAAAATTTTCTAACAAATATATATTTTAGTAGAATGCATGGATTAAAAATATATTCAATGATTTATTTTTTTCGTACAATTAAAGTATCAACTATTTTCACATTAATTTTTTTATTAAAGTGTTAGTCGGCCCCTAATAAAGCTTTAAAATCATGGTTTCGCCCCTGCTCATAAAAAAAAAATTGTAATCTATACTTCATATATTAAAAAGCGTTCCTAAAAACGCTTATGTGTCACGTAGTTTTGCATTAGCATTATGCCACATCATCATTTATCTAACATTATGTCACGTCACCACTAGCATTGCAACAATTATTCGATGTCATTATTAACTTGAAAAGCATTGCCCAAAAAACAAAAAAAACATCCTACAAGTCTCAAACATTGAACCTCATAGATGTAAGATCACGTTTCTTACCATCTTAGCCAATAACAGTAATTTATGTCCTTAATTTACACATAAAAAAAAATATATATCTTTAAGTAAATAAAAAAAAAAGATAAAGAACAATTATGTAGCCTAGAAAAAAAATGAATAAAGCGGAATAGCCTCAACAATTTCAAGACAATGGAGGATTAATCTCTTTAAATCCTCTTTTTTATTAACGCTATGTTTCAAAGTAACAACCCGGTGCAACGCCCTAACCACATACTAGTATATATTATTAAAACTCATGGCAAGACATGCAATTTTGCCATATGTCACCAATTTTGCCATTTGGCATATGATGTGACGCCATGTCATACCAGCCCATTAATGTGTGACGCCATGTCATACTAGTCCATTAATGTACGCATGTATTATTTCCTCAAACAAAAAATTGTTAGCTTTGATGTTTGAACCCATGACTTTATATTCATTATGATTCAAGTTTTACCACCATTTTAAAGACACATTTTGTGTCAACAATTGTTATATTAAAAGAGTTAATCATGTTCATAAATTTCAAAATTAATAATATATATATAGATTTTATACAGTATGTTTAACAACAATCTATAATAACAAAAGTGATCTCATCTCTTTCATTTGCTCATACATACAACCTTATAGGTATTTGAAATATGTAACCCAAAGATATGCTGTACTTTTTATGCTAATTTTTTTCCACATATATGTCAATTTTAAAGAGTTTCTTATAACAATTGAAGAACGAAATAAACTAATAATATCCAGGATACTCAATATTAGATGATGAATTTTAATGTTCAGTTAAGTTGAAAAGAAGAAATTAATAGTACAAGTACTATTATAAGAATAATTCATCTTAGAGGATCATGGAGTTAAGGGACGGTTTGTCCCTCCATCTCCCCTAGGAGTGACCTGGGTTCGATCTTCACCCCACCCCTCCTGTGATAGGAGGGGCACCCACCGTATCTTACCGTGTAAAAAAAAAAGAATAATTAATCTTAAAAATAAAATATAATTAATCTATATTAATATTTCACCTAATTATCATAAAAAGTATCAAAAGTCATCAAATAAGTAGAGGAGAAATAGGAAATACGTACAAAAAAGTACAAAACTTAAAAGGAAGAGAGAAGTGAAGAGGGGTTGAGAAAGAAATGGTTGTATTTTTAGTTTTTTAGGGATGTAGTTTAAAAAATTGTTTTTTGCTAGAAATTCCACCGTTGAATCGTGCTGAAATTTTGTCATCTTAATAGAGACACATATGACCTTTATTTGAATAGTTGGATCATCATTTGAATCTCTTGTTTGTCTGGAATTTCTGTTGGACATAAACCTACGTTTAATGATAATATTTTCACTTTTGCTTTCCTAGTTTGTTATCTCTTATGTATTTATTTTTGTTGGTGAGTTGTGAAATCTTTGTAGACATTTGAGTTTCTTTTGCCCTCAATTTATCATATCAAAAGAAAAAATAAGGGTGGACTCCTCATAAGTCCCATTGGTTACACTTCACATCGAAAGAGTTTTCCATGCATATAGTGTGTGTCATTGTGATTTTATTTCTTACATATCGTTGTTGTTCCTGTTATCCATATTCCATATGATTTGTTTTGATTGATGAATTGTCTACTTGATAATTTGTACGTGGTGAATTGGAGTCGTTTTTCGTTGATTGTCTTGGACTTGATAACGGTGGGTGTTTGATATACTAATTGAGATGTTGCCTTCGAGTATATTTTTTTTTTTAAAAAGATTGTTTTGTAGGCGGGTAAAAAGAAGGCCTATACTGGACCAATCTCTCTCACATTATCAATATATTGCCTTTAGTAGATCACACTTTTAAGGAATTAAAACACTCTCTCTAATATTTTCACACAATATGATGAGTTGACCATACCAAATCACATGCCTTTAGAATAAACAATAATGTAAATATAAAGAGTGCAGATTACATCAAGCTCCGCTAAGGGTATAACTTCATACACTAGCAGAGCCAAGTGGGGACAACTATTCTCCCACTTTTTAAGGAAAAAAAAAACAAAAAAAAACAAATACAGTAGTTATAAACCATTTATGTGCAACACAATGATAAAAAAAAAAGAGGTGGTCCAGTGGTTAAAGTGTTTACAGTTGTCCTTTGAGGCCATGGTTAAAATATTTGATCTAATTAATATATCTCAATACAAATTAAATTGTCTAAGCGATTTTGTCAAGGAAAAATTGCTTTTAATAATCCCACCTTTGACCGATTCGCCGTTAATAATCCCACCTTTTGATTATTATCTAATAATCCCATCTTTAACCGGTTTTAATAGGTTAAGATGCTACGTGTCACTTTGTGATTGGTTGAAAATATTTTTTTATTAAAAAAAAACTAAAACTAAAAAAAAAAAAAAGAAAAATAACCAGCCCACCCCAACTTCAACCCCCACGCCAACCCTCAAGCAGCCCTCCCCGGAGCGGCGGCTGACCCAACCTCCTCCCCTGCGCCGCCGATCTATCCCTCTCCCACGCACCGGCCGACCATTCCCCGCGAATTGATGAACACTTGGTAAAATTGAAGACGAAGATTGTGACATCGAAGGTTATCGAAACCCTAATTGACGACGAACTGGTTGCGATTTACAGCGTTGAAAAGGTTTTGAAGGCAAAGGAGATCAACGGAGATTTCGGACGACTGATGAAAGGGGGATAAAGGGCGGCAATAAGGGTTTTTCAGGTCAAGGGTTTAGCCGACGGTGGATGGTTGCGACGGGGTTAAGGAGGAAAGGGAGGAGGGCTGGGTCGGACGGAGTAGGGGAGGGGGCTGGTCGGCCGATGCGGGGAGGAGGATGAGTCGGCCGGCAATCCGGGGAGGCTGTTGGAGGGTGGGGTGGCGGGTGGAGCGTGGAGGTTGGACTGGCCATTTTTTTTAGGTTTTTTTTTTTTTAAAGTTTTTAGTTTTTTGATTAATCACTAATTTTTTTTTTTTTTAAAAAAAATTACCTAATTACCGGTCAAAATGGACCAAAAGAAAAGAATGCCCTATAAAAGTGGGATTATTTGATAATAATCAAAAGATGAGATTATTAACAGCGAACCGGCCAAAAATGAGATTATTAAAAACAATTTTTCCTTTTGTCAAATTATAAAACGACTTCCTTAAGCGGACGGTGAAAATCTTGGCTCCATGATCCTGTTTTCTAAAAAAGAAAAATTTGATGGCTATTGGTTAAACTTGAACTTATGCAGTTACACTTGACGAACGCTTCTACGGAGTGTAGTAAACTTCATAAACACAGCGCTTTGCCGCTTTTGTCCAGAACAAAATAGAGCTTGTAAAAGAACAATATAGGAGACGACCTCAGTTTCATGGCGGAAGTCGAAGACTCAAAGCATGCAGTAGGGCAAGAAGAGCAGCAGCAGCAGGAAGGAGAAGAAGCACATGAAAATGGAGGAGTTAATGAGGAAATGAAGCCATGGGAGCAACACTCTGCTGTCATATGTATTCCTCGCTTTGATTACAACGCTCCTTCTTCTCTCCTCCAAAATTCTCATTCTGGGTTTCTCATTACTTGCCCTATCAGTAAGTTCTAATTCAACCTTTTTCTCTCTCCTCCTTCCCACTTCAATAGATGATTGAATTTGGTGCTTTATTTTGTTTCTTGGTGAATTTGGGTTTTGGGTTTTGGGTTTTGGTTTAATTTGATTTTTTTTATTGATTATTTGCAGCTTTGGTTATCCAATTTTAAATTGTGATGGGTGAAATAAGGATGAAATTATGATTCAAGAAGTTAAAATTGGTTGCTAGGGTTTAATATGTTGTTGGGTTATGATGGATTGTTCAATGTTAAAATTACAATGATGGAAAGTTGGTTTCTTTCCTGTATGAGTTTTTGGATTATTTATGTAGGCGTAGGTTAATGTTGATACCAGTAAATTGTTATTGAGAAATTTATGTATAAAAAGCTCAAGTCTTTTTTAATTTATGGAGCTTTATTGACTGCCAAAATGTATGATTTGATGGAATGGAAAGCAATTCAAGAAATATCGGACCCTATCTTGTGGTTTTGTAACCCTAGACCTTAATTTTTCGAGGATGTCAACTCTTTGAGCGACAATGTGAAGACAGTGATTTGAATTTGGCCTTTTTAGCATCCAATGGGATATAGTAGGAATACCTAGTTATTCTTAGTCTATGAGAAGAGAAGCATAATTGTTGGCTGGGTAATTTTGTTGATAGTTTGTATTGGATGAATTGTGTGCCTCTTTATATCGTAATTGTCTTAAAAAATCTGTTCATTAGAAAATATGTCATTTGGGTGAACCATGCAGTGTTTAAGCTCCACAATACAGCATTGCCTTTATACTACTCTATTGGCTGAAGAAACCTTAATTCCAAATGCCAATCCCGGGATTATATTGTGAAATATTTTCCCCCCGTATTTGAGATAAACTTGGCTCTTAAAAAACTTTTTGCTTTACAGAGAGGGAGAAGAGTGCAACAAAAGAAGCTATATCTATTCTTGGAAAGGTATTTTCTTGAAAAGCTTCATATAGTTAACATCCGTTTTTTGTTTATCTGATTTCACTTTGTTGTACATGTTGCAATTCTTTTTTCACTAAATTCTATATGAAGTTGTCTATCAAATCAAGGATGTATGGAAAAGTACCTCGTTAAGTCGTTAGTCTTTAATGATGCTGGGCTTAGATTAAAAAAGCCTCATTGCATTTGTAGCAACTGTATCAGAAGTTGGTGCTCATTTAACTACTTAATCTTGTCTTAGGTGAGAACTTGGTTGAACCTTTTCAGAGTACTTATATCATGAATCATGTTAGAGAAGCTCGAAGACATTGGAATGCCATTAATGTGTCAAACTTTAGTCTGTGGTCCTTTTAGTGTTCTGATCCCCAAGTACTTCGTAATATTTGCTAATTTACAGTAAATTAATATAAGCAAGTAGATTGAGTCAAACTAGTAAGTTGGTAAAGTTATTTATGAAAATTCAAAGTTATGTATTAGTATGTATTTTTGAGATTACAATATGTCTTGTGTCCAAAAAAAATTGAAGAAAACTGCCCAATTTGCTATCAGTAATAATTTATACTTAAGCTTGGTGGTTCAAATTCAACCCCATCATGTAGTGAGACTACAATCTACAATATTTTGATATAGTGTTTCTATCATTCTCCTGCAGTATGAAACTTATGGGAGGCACTTTGACGGCCTAGAAACATTATCCGAAATGTTATGGAAATTATAAGAATTAGAGGGTCTAGATTTCTTGAAATTCCTGGAAAGCAATACCTAAAAGTATTCTATATATAAAAGCTGCAATGTTATTGTTATATCTCCCGCGAAGACCAATAACAGATCCATTGTAATTTGCTACAGGTTAATTTAGGTGTTTATATTTTCAAATCCCTTTCCTGGGGTATTAAGAAAACATGTGAGTTGGATCATGAGTGGGCCTGGAAGGGTGATAATGATTCTTTGCTATTATTGACGGCATGATGCAGATGAAAAATTATTTAATTGGTTGTATGACTTGTATCAACAAAGATCATTTTCTTTTTCCTTAATGTCCATTCTATTTCCTAGTTACTGTCAATGCCGTTGGAATACTCACGGTTGAAGTTCAATGGTATGGTTTTGCAGTATATTGAATCCAGTGGTAGTGACTGCTCTAGAGAGTCTGATTCCAGCGAAGATGTTAAAAGAAGGAAAGTTGAGGAGGTGGAGGGGGGCTCTGCTGTAGCTATCACTAGTAAGAAACTGAAATTTGGTTTCTCAATCCTCAGGACCAATTACAAAATTGAGTTGAGCATTGGTTTAACTATTTGGAATTTCGATATATCTGTGTAGGTGAATTGTCAAAAGATGATTCTCAATCTTTTAGAGTGACGAATGATTCTGCAAAACAAACTCCTAGTCTTTTGCTCGTAAAGGTGACAAGAAGTGGCTTGGTTCTCTTTACATTCCCCAAAGGCAGTTCTTTTGATCCGGTCAGCATAGTCACCCAATTAAATCAATCCTTAGAATCAGGAGAGTTAAAACGACCACTGTAAGTACTTGGGCTGTAATATTGTTTTTAAATTACTATTTTTGGCGTTTTTTTAAACAGTAGTTTTCCAATGTGTTATTTATCCAATTTCTTTTGTTGCTTTGTTTAGTGCCGAATTACCTGTTTATATATTTAATCATTTCAATATTTGCTTCTAACCATCAATAATGAAGCTTTTAGGCCTGGGTATGTTGTATACTTGTGCATTTAGTCCTCTATCCGAGAAAGATTATGGCCAACAAGAATAATGTAGAAAATCAGATGGGTTCGGTGGGCAAATGTTTGGGAATCTTGAGATTCAATAATTGGGGTTAGACCACCTCCGAAGTTTACTGTCTGAGGCAAAGGCTATAAGTCAAGCTTAAAAGTTGCCCTCTAGGAGGAAAGAACCACCTTGATTAGAAGCATCTTTCTGGGATGTACAGGGTGTATATTGGCCATGTTAAGGTTAACAATAACTTGGGGAAGCTTCAGGGATTGTTTAAGACTCTAAGCACCAGCTTTTTATTTGTGACTGCACCCAAGATTGACCACCTAGGCAAATGTAGCAAGTGTTAGTTAAGTTTGAGGGGAAGTCTCTGAGCGGTTTTACGCATCTTTTAGGATCACCAGAGTCCATATTGGCTATTTTGATCATAGATGACTGCAGATCCACAATTGTCTCATAAAACCCCAGTTGCTTATGGTTGTTTGAGGCTTTTTTTGAAGTTTGGTAGAAACTGCTGATTAATATATTTGAGGGGAAGTGTTATTGATTACCCTAACATCCAAGGATTGTGTATGAGGAAACCTAATGTTGAGATTATATGTGCATATATGATGTCAGTTGTGTAGAATTAGTTTTCAGTTCTCCAATTGGGTTATTTAAACTACTCTTTTCACTCTGCACTCTTCTGCTGGCTTTATTTTAAAAGAGTCTCAAATACTATGCACAGTTTATATATTTCCCTAATAATTATCTATTAAGCAAGTATAGTCTCTCTCTGCAGCTGGTGCCATCGGATTTTCCCTATTCAAGCTACTTGTAGGTTGAATGAAAAGGAAGTCAGTACTACTGTGTCAAATCTCGTTCTCAAGTACGTCAACGACAAAAGTTACAGATCTTCTAGACCCCTAAAGGTGAGCATACTTAAATTTTAGCTTTGCGGTCGAGTATTACAGTGAATTTCCTATCCAATGGAGACTTTCCTTTACAAGCCAATCTTTGGTATCTGACCAAAAATAATTCTCTGCTGTCTTCTTTTCTGTATGGAGGCCAAGGCACCACTTGTATCTTGCAAATTGGCTTCCTAATTATGTTAGTTGTTACATTCTCTCTTTTGGTCTCCTTCCTCCTACCCCATACATGTAAAAAATACAATATGCAATTGTAGGATGATTTCTGTTTGATCTTGATGCACCACCTTTACTTTGTTATCTTTAGTTTGCAGTTAGCTATAGTAGAAGAGGAATTGAAGAGACAGAGATGAAAACTGCAAAAGATAAAGTTAGCGAACCTAATCTTTGTGTATTGCTTGATCGAAATAAGTGCTTCTCCATTGTAGCGGGTGCTGTAAAAGGGGTTGTATTAGATTCAACCGTGGACCTTAAATCCCCAGAGGTTGTTAGCTCTCAATTCAATTTATGAACCGTTGTCAATTTGTCATGCCATAAATAATATATGTTTTGACGTGTGTGTTTATGTTTTGCAGCTTTGTACTTTCATTGAGCTTCTTCCATTGTCTGGGTCGCCAAATGGCTCACTGATTGTTGCCGTTTCAGTCCTTTCTGGAGACCTTGTCAGCACCAAGCCACGGCTTTGTGTTAAATCTTTGGTCCTTGATCCTAAAGCTAAAACAAAAGTGTAATAAATTAGGCTTGAACATCCAAGGCTTCAGTGAAGGGTTCACATAAACTTTGCAAGTAAAATTGGCTGCCAACCAAAGTGATCTGAGTACCAGTTTAAAGTTAAGTTTTTTGGTTGTCCTTCTTTTGATTTTTTTTGCTTCTTCATAGGAAATTTTTGAATTATCCAAATTTACAGAATTGCAGTAGATAACCTGAGGGTGAGAGCCTGTACTGTACGTCTGTACCCCCATAGGCCATAAGGGCAATAACGTCATGCTTCGGCTGGTGTAATAACGGTATAAAATTGCCTAGCCCAATTGTATTATCTAGCTGTTACCTAATCTGATGAAGTTGATTAATGAAACTTCTTGTATGTTCATAATATGAAGCTTTTACCTAATCTTCTTGTCTTACATATAAAGTTCATGTAGGTTTTCCTTGTGTGAAAATACAATGTTGAAAGGTTAGACGCGTTTCACAAATTCCCAAATTTATTTTGAATTCTTAACTATGAAGGTTGGGATAATATGAAAACGAATGTTGATTTCTGAATAAAGTACTAAGGAAGAAAGCAACATACTAATGAACTAACCATACTTACCATTTATAATACTCTATTTTAGGAGATTATATGGCCAATATATGAGTTTACGTGGCTAATCTACAACCAGTTCAAAAAATTTGACTTCACTACAATAGTGTTAACATTGATTGTATCAATACCAAAGCAGTGGTTACAGTTGTAAATCATTAAAAATGTTAAGGTGAAGTTTAATTGTTCTATTGTACATTTTTTTTTTGACAGGTCTAAATGTATTATTGTTGAGAATGTTGACATAGTTTTACAATGTTTGATAAGCTGGTCCAAGGTACAAACAAATGTTCCATTTTGAATTCACTACCTACTGCTGTATTTATGTGTGAATGTGTCTAATTTTTCTTTGTCTAATTGTCTATGCTATCTACTTATCTAGTAACGGGACCTTGAAAGACATTCTTTCGATAATGAACTTTGTAATACCCTTTTTGTATTTTGAAAAATCTCTACAAAAATTAAGTTGTACGAGTATAATGTATGCACGCAAATTATTTGAACTTATTTTGTCGTAAGCCTTGAAACTTGTACTTATGTTTGAACTTGTTTTGTTTTGAAAAAGTTGAGAACACACCCTATTTTAAAGGGGAATTTCATTCTATAACCAATTTGGTAATTGAAGAAGTAATCAACTGATTCCTCAAACTTATAAAGTGGTTCGTCATTCAATTCTCCCATTGTTCAACATGGGATAAAAGTTTCATTCGTATGTTGGTTAATGGGATTTCAACGTGTAATAAAGCTTAGGTGGAGGCCATTACAATTTGGAACCCTACAATCTCAATTGTGCGATTATTCACCTTATTTAAGGTAATTTGTAAATCTTCCTTTTTTAGGAAAGAAGAATATTAGGTTGAGGTTACTTTTATTTTTTTTTAGTCTCAAAAAATAAATAAAATAGGAGTACAATGTAAAGAGTAGAGATGTCAAAAATTGACTTCATTCGAAATCGACCCAAAAAAAAAAAAAAATGATTTGATTTGTATGAATACAATAATTTAACATGACTCAAATTTAAATGACTCAATCCAATTCGATTTCACTGAAATTGACCCGCTTATCCAAGTTGACACCTCTTAATCCGGCCAATGACGGTGGAAAATATTGTTGTTAGATAGCCTTTTTTTGGGATATTGTACATGTATTTATTATTTATTATTTTTGTGATAGTTTGTGGACTTTTTGTAGGGTCCAGCAATTCTAGTTAGTGATTAGTCTGATTACCCATACTCTAATCATGCAGTACGTGATTTATATAAGGTACTCCTTACGAATAATTAAATTAGGTTTACTTTAATATGAAATAATAGATATAATAAGACCAGTACTCCAACTAGTTAATGACTTGATTTAATCAACTAAAATTTCATTAATTTTTTACAAATGCATAATACTATTATATTAAAGAACCTGATTGCCTGCCTAGAATAAAAGGAATGAACTAATCTAATTAGCTACCACAAAGTGAGATAGATAAATCAAGATTAAGAGACTGTTGGTGATTATCCCAAGCAATAGAAGAAGAAGAGTATGAACTAATTGCCTGATCACTAATTTCACTAACATTAGTCGACGAAACGTTGCTGCTCCGTTGCATTAACAATGGCGGCAAGGCCACCCTCTGTAAGGAGAGAGACAAGGATATCCCATGCTCGTTGTCTCTTTTTTCGATTGCTATCTCTTCATCGTCCTCGTTTTCTTTGTATTGATCTTTGGTTTGCTTCATAGAAGAGAAGAATGCATCCGAGTTGAAGTAATGAGCTTGATTTTGGTCTGATACTTGTTCATATGCCATTGTTTCCTGTGATAATTTAAACATGAAATGATTAAACAATTCTACATGCAAAATATATTATGCATTATAAGATCAATGACATAATGACAAGAGAGTGAAGGAGGGGAGCTTTAACCACTTGAGCTATCCCTTACTCTCTACATAGGCAACACACCATGCTTGTATCGACTTAAAATCTTGAATAGGTATAAGTTGGACTAAATTTTTTGAACCCGAAAGAACATTTATCAGTTGTATAAATATTGAATATATAGCTTAATAATTACCAAGCATGCATTAAACTAGCTAGCTAACTACCATTATCAGAAAATTATTGTCCTTTACTCTATATTCTAAAACAAGTTAATAATGCACAATGACTTTCAAACACATTTAAAGAGTGACTGCCAATTTCAGCATAGTGTATAAATATAATGGACCACTATGAAAATAATGGAAATTATTCTGCCTCAGAATATCTGTACCAAAAAACTAGAATATGTTGATTTTCTTTTATAAATAAATATTTCTAAAATATCTGTCACCAATAAATGTTTTCTGCTTCCAAATTCGTCCCTTAATTTGGTCATTTTTCAGTACCTACAATCCCTTAATCATGTTCCATTTTCTATATACATGCATTACAATACACATATATACATGTGAATTATCACTTATTTATGCTATTACTAGTACTATTATATGATAAAGTACACAAGAATTAATTAAACTGTTGTTATTATCTATATATCCATTTATCCACAATTTATAGTCCTTCACACATAATAAATTTGACCACAATGTAGTCTTCTTGTTGAATATTTGACCACATATGACTAATCATTGCATATAACCACCAAATAATTACTAACAAGCTTATATACATGGTACTAATATCTTGAAGCTAAGGGTCTGTTTGTACAGCTTATATTATCTTGTCAAAGGCATACTATAATTCAGATAGGTTCATACGAGTACCGGTCAAAATAAGATACTCCGTATGACAAAATACATTATAACAAACTCATGTATAATTTCTGAAAAGCTAAATTTATTTCGGATCAGTTAATTTCAAAACAGTTCAACCAGATTGAATGCAACATAATCTTTTAGTTATAACAACAAATATTGTCTCCGTCTCACATGATTTAATTATACTATCGACGTGACAACTAATTCCGAAGAAGATGAGAAGTACCTGCAGCTTTAAGAAGTGGGATTGATCAGGTTGGACTGCAAGAAGATGATGAAAATTGAAAACATGATCCTGAGGAGGCAGAGGCAGTGTAGACAGTAAGGAGGAGAAACCAGGGTGTTGGGTCTGATGCTGCTGTTGTTGCTGCTGCCATCTGATAATATTCAGACTACTCTCTTCCAATAATCCACCACTTTCTAATTCTTCTTCTTCCTCATTATTATTACTTTTATTTTTATTGTCATCTTTTAGCATAATTCCTCCTCTTTTTGTCTCACCCTTTGAATCATTATAAATTGACTCCAGCTGACTTTTGTAATCATCAACCAAGCAGTACATTTTTGGATCTTTTCTCACTCCCTCTCTTTGGCTGCTTTCCATTTTCTCTCTCTTCATCATCATACTACTTGTAAAACTATCTTCCATCCTTGCCCTTTTGAAATTTCAATTTTTTTCATCACCCACAAAAACAAATGAAATAAAACAATAATCAATATGTGAAAAAAAAAAAAAAAAACTACATATTGTTCATAATTGTGCGAGCTTAAATTTAATGAGTAATAATACTGCCTCCGTCTCTAAAAGTTCTTTCTTTTTAGACGATAAATGTCTCATAAAAAAGTTAAAATACGTAAAATTGATTTTAGCACTTCCAAAATTTAAATCCATCCACACTCCCCTGAGAGTAAAACATACATCGAAAACGTGCAAACTTTAAAAATTAAGGGAGTGTTAAAATCAATTTTCACCGCGTTTACTTAAAGACGGTCATATAATTCCATGAAATTATAGCTATATAAACTACAATGGGAGGAAAGAAAATGCTTGTTGATTGCTAGTACCTTTTAGAAGGGGGAAAAGCAGCAGAAATTGTAGACTGAAGATCTTGAATAACATTATGATTAATAGTAATATTTGGAGAAGATAAATGTAACCCCACATCATCTTTTTCATCCTCCAAAACATAATTAGTAGTACTTGCAATGTTATTATGATGATTCTCAAAAGCTTGTTTCCTTTGCTGTGTGAAGCTCTTGTCTCCTAAAAGCAAATTATACACCAAAAAGATGTTACACAAAAATATTAAAAATTTATTTTATAGAAAAAAAAAATTTACAACATAAGAACAAAAAGTTACTGTGTAAATATGGTAATTGTAATTTTCAAAATTTTGTTCGTTCTTGTATTTCCAATGTAATTTTCTGATTCAGAAAGCATTATAATTGTTTGTACAGTACCACAACTATAAGGTTTAATTGGGTAATTTATTTATGTACTTTATTTTCCCCTTAAAATGATAAAATCAGAAGATTTGGGAATTAATGTGAATATTTTCTGTTTTAGTAAATTTTAAACATTAAATGAAGTGAGACATCAAAAATCACTAAAAAAGATATGATATGGTAACCCATAATCTTTGATTTCCAGCTGAGTGAAACACCCCATTTGGGGGAACCAACCTAGAATTATAAAGCTAGCTACTCCATATTATTTTGCTTTTATTACTATCACAAGAAATTTAATACAACACCTATTAGTATACTCCCTTCGTCCCAATAATAGTTCATGTTTGTGTTTTTTCATGGTATTTAAGAAATTGGAGGAAAAGATGGATGAAGTACATTAAAAGTGGAAAAAAGCTAGACAAAAATACAAGGCAAGTGAACAATTTAAAGGAAAAAAGTGAAAAAGTACAATTATAGACGAAAGTTAGAGAGAGAAAGTGTAAAAAAGTACAAAGCAAGTGGATAGTTTAAGGGTGAATTTTAATGAATAAAGTTATAAAAAAATGAGGGTATAATGTTCTTTACATACTATCTAAAAATAGAAACAGAAACAACATTTTAGGTCTCCAAAATAAAAAAACAAGAGCTATGATATGAAATGAAGGGAGTATATGGCAACTCAATCAATATAAAGATTGCCGTGTTTTTCTATTTCATCTTTTAATTAATTCCATCTATCCGTGAACCATTCAAATTGAGTTTAAATTGTGTTGTCATATTAATTAGTACTCGTAGTAGTTTATTACACTAGCTAATAACCATTAATTCCGGACAGATGGAGTAAAGTTTAGAAGTAATTAGAAGAATAGGAGAATCATCAATATTCATGGTAGTTGAACAAAATTTTAAAATAAAGATTAAAGAAACGAGATTAATACTGTACATAATTACATACCTTGTCTTGTATGATCAAGCTTCATGCTTCTATACATCTGTTGACATTAAAAAAAAAAAAAAAAAAAAAAGAAAAGAAAGAAAATACCAAAAATTAGTTCATATTATAAATAAATTGGTCATAACAATGAGTGTGAAACCTTAGACCACAAGTCACCAAATTTTTTTAAAAAAGAACCTAGATTAAGATTGTTTTTCTTTTTTTTTTTTTTTTTTTTTAAATTTTTTGAAAAAAAGAACAAAGATTATGATTAAAATAATTGATGATAAAAAAGTAAATATTCTAGAAGAAAGAAAATGGAGGTAGAGAAAAACAAACCTGGAGATGACTTTTCACATGAGAAATTGTTAGCCCTCTTACATCCATTAACTGAAGAACAAGCTTTGGTGTTGCCTCTGAAATTTCAAAACCAAAATAATTATAAATCACTTTATCCCAACTTACTAATATTAGTAATAGTAAGCTCATTCGGAGGAGGTTCAGATATACACAACCTTATTAACGCATCAAAAACGAAAAGAGAACTTACTGTCTTGGCCACCGAGGCGTTCGATAGCATGAACAAAGCAGCGGTGAAGCTCAGGAGTCCAGCGTAAGCGAGGAACTTTGGATCTAACATACTGTCTTACTCCATTACTAGTATTACTATTACTATTTTTAATACTAACTTCCATAATTCTATTACTCTAATAATTTTATTTTTATTTTAAGAGAGGAGTTATAATTTGATGAGAATAATATTATTCATTTGAGGGAAAAAAAAAAAGGGGGATGAAAAAAGGGTTGACTAGAAGAATGTTTTATATAAGAGGATGGGAGGTGAAAGGAAGAAGAAAATCACGAGGAAGAGAGAGAGAGAGAAAGAAGAAATTCCTTTGGTTGGGCTGAAGTGGCGCTGTTAGAAAACCTGCAAACATGGAAAATTCTCATCACGAGCTTCTGATCCTCTTTAAATCATTACTCTACTTACATTCTCTCTCAACCTCCCTTTTTACTTTTTTTTTTTTTTTTTTTTTTTTAATATTAATACGGATTATATTAGAATATTGTTGATTGTTTATTGGGAAATTCTATATGGTAGCCCTCGAGATCCAAAAATTCTACATGGTGGCTTGGCAAATTTTTTCTTCCACAAAGTGTTTCCCTAGTTTGGATTATTACATTAAGTGACCTCATAGGCTTATTTTATGGCTAACCCATCATTAAAAACCTAATTACTAACTTACCCCTTAATTAAATTATTAACCCACTCCTTAACTAACACCACACCACAGCCCCACCACCTAAGTCAGCTAACCCGACTCTTCTCTCTCCTCAACCTCTCCATCCCCATTACCGACGACCTCCAAGATCTGCACCTCCAAATCCTCACCACTCTCTCTCCTCTCACCTCCGATTACATTTGGCAACACGAACCTTTCTCCTTTTCTCAATTCGTTTTTGGAATTCTAATGGTGAGTTTAATTTCTTTTAATTGAAGTCGCCTTTCATATCATCTTCCTAATTCCTAATAATTGTGTTTTATTCGGAAAATTAAAGTTCTTATTATTCTGAAAAAGAGGGTTTTTGAGGTGGTGATGTGGGTTTTGGCTGCTGTGGGCTTCAAGTCGAGCGTGCTATAGCTCGTTCGTCAGTGAGCTATCACTCGAGGTTGTTGAGCTTGCGGACTATACGAGCTAGCTTGTGAGCTATCGCTCACTCGCTGCTAAACTTTCGGTGCTGTGAGCGAGTATGCGAGCTAGCCTGCGAGGTCTCGGTCACTCGCTGCTGCTCTTGCGGTGTTTGAGAGCAAGTATGCGAGCTATAGCTCGCGTCTTAGCTACGATCTCTTGCTAGTCCTTTGACAAAACTCTTGCAACAATTTTCTGTCCCCAAACCAACTCAATACACTCTAAAGTCTCAACTATTGAATTCAATTGAATTAAAATTTGCAGCAAAAATGTAACCAACAATCATATGTAAAGGAACAATGTCAAAATATGTTGTGATATTCTACTTCAAATAAGACTACTTAAACTAATTGTACTTCAAAGCTAAATATTAGTCTTCTTGCATTGATCTTCAAACTGGTTATGAAGAAGATGAATGTTCTTTCCTCTTTTTGCTACCCGTACCAAGTGATTCCTGTGACTGCATAATTGTTGGAGTAGGTTGTGATGCAGCTTCATGTTCGTTCCTTTTCCTGCTGTCACATTCTGTACTAGTTCCAACTTCATTATTCGCTTCCACATTTTTCTTTTGAGCTGCTTTTTCCTTTGCGGTCAATCCACCCTTACACGTTTTTATGTTGTGGCCAAATTCCTTGCAATTATTGCTTTTGTTTGTAGTTGATCTTTTGCCCTTTTCTTTCTTGCCATCTTCCTTCTTCCTATTTCTTGATGGCCTTCCAACTCCCCTCCTCAGTGGTGGTGGCAATATGATGCGCATGTCAATATCAGGCCAATTCTCGTGGTCAGGTATTGAGTTGATTTTTTGAGAATAGGTTTGCTTGTACACTGCACCATAGTACCAAGTGCTAGAATACTTGTAAGGGTCTTCTTTAGCATACAAAATTGCTCTTATCGCATGTTTGCAAGGCAATCCTGAAATTTGTCATGCTCCACAAATGCAAGTTTTTTTGTTCAGGCTAACTGGTAGCATTGACTTTCCATCCTTTATTTCATACTCCCCTGGACTACTCTCATAAGCCTTACACATTCTAGAATCCAACACAAGCTTTTGAATTCTTCTGACAATATTTGGGCAAGGTTCATTGTCACTCCAGTTCGCACAGTTTTGTCTCCTTGTTGACATTCTTACCATACACACCCTCCTAATTCCTGTTTGAAAACAAACCATTACAATTGATACAAAAGAATGTAAGTATATGAACAAAGATTCAATAAACGAACCTTCTAATAAAGTTAACACTGGCCTGCATCTGTCAACTCCTAAGGTGGCATTAAAACTTTCCACAAAGTTTGTCTTATTTTCTTCAGAGCATATCTTTGGATCAAACTTGTATCTAGACCACCTTGATTGATCACCAAGCTTGGATAACCACACTAAAGCCAAATGATTTGTCTTTTGTAACTTTTCCATTGTTTTCTTGAATGTGAAAGGGCTAGTTGCACTATATACTCTCCAGAACAATGAATACATCAAAGGCCCAGGGAATGCACTTTTCCAGTTCTTTGACAAGTGTTTACAACATTACCTTCTCCCTGCTTCTGGCCATAAACCAGTGAGGGCAGCATCAATACCCTGTAAGAAAGCCACAATACAATAAATAACTAATAAACATTAATGTAAGAAACATTTTAATGTAAATGAGAGTAGAGAATGCACCTTTTGTCTATCAGAGATAATACACCAATCATCACCCCTGTTGGATTTTTTCAAAATGTTCTTCAGGTGCCAAAAAAAAAAAAAAAATTCCAAGTTTCCTCATTTTCTCCACTTACTATAGCCCAAGCAAAAGGGAAGAGCTCATTGTTGGCATCAATTGTCACTGCAGAAAATAAAACTCCACCATAGTTGCCTTTAAGATGAGCACCATCAACTCCAATAAGACTTCTACAACCTGCACACACTCCTTCAATTGTTCCTTTGAAGGAAATGAAAATGGTTGAGAAGTGAAGAGGCCTCTCGGGATTAGGTCCCACCTTCCAACTGCAGAATGCTGCTGATTTACGGTTTGTCATCTTGACCATCTCAGCATACTTTGGCATATAACCATAAGATTCATCATGACCACCATTTATTTGCCTTAATGCAATTGCCCTCATCTTGTACAATGTGCTTGTTGCCATTGTAACTCCATACCTTTGCCATAGAATTGCATTCCGAGCTTTTCCAGATATATCATTACTAGCCCTTATATCATCCATCAATTTGTCAGCTGCCCAAGCTACATTCACTATGGGATTTTTATTATCCAAGACCCTACATGTATGCTCTGGGTTAGTAATGCTTTTGATGGCCCATGTTTTGTCATCGGGAAGTCTGCTACTATGTAATCTCCAACGACAATGGAAATCTTTACAGTCAATCTTTTAGGTGTTGATCTCTCAACAACAATTCCAAACCCACACTGTATACAATAGTCTCTCAAAACACCCTTAAAATGTTCCTTGTCACTAAATATCATCCAAGGCTTCAACACAATGTTACCCCATTCCCATCCTTGGTAAAACACACCATACTTATACATTTGCTTCAAATAAGATTCATCATTGTCAACATCATTTTGCCAAACCTCATCTTCATATGGGTCATAATTGTCATCAATACATCCCTAATTTACATCTAACTCACTATCTTCACCTTCATCTGAATGCAAAGGATCACCCACTTCATCTTCACTTTCTAAAGGATCAACAACATTTTTCTTTAACTTTTTGACAAAAATTGCACTACCTTCACCAGTTCTAACCCCTACATCAACAGTTTCATCCCTTGCATCCAAATCATCAAGACCAACATCAATTATTTGTGGAACTATTTTCTGAATGACAATACCTTTCCTGGCAGCTGTGGTTTTGGGTATATTTTTTTAGAAAAAGGGTTGAAGTGTTTGAGTTCTTTGATTGTGAAGCACTGACATTATGTTGAACAACTGGTGCATTTGAGAAAGATGTGATTGAGAAATAATAGGAATATCAAAAGGGGTTGCAATTGTATCGTTTGTCTTTTCCCTCCTGGGTGTTAGTTTCTTAGGCTTCCTCTCATCTTTTTCCCTAAGGATTTCATTGTAATAATTTTGGACATCTAACCATGTCTTCTCAATGTCAAGGCAAACTCTATCATCATCGTATAGCAGTAATTGAGCACCATTACCATCACAATTCTCATTTGGTGTAATGCTACTCTCCCCTATAGGCCCAGGTGGACTCTTCCCATCCATCAATGAACCTTTCAATTGTCTGGCTGATTTTACACATTCACTAAGTTGCTCTGTCGCACCAACATAAATGTATATAACCTTATATGTACTCATTCTTTCCAACATAGTCATCAAGTCGATCTTTATCAGTATGAATTTTAACAATGTTTTGCTTATAAAGTAATGGAAAATAGGAATTTAAGGCATTTCAAAGTTCTTCTTCCTAAATGCATCCTCATATTCATTTATCAAATCAATCCACATGACTTTGTCAACATCATCAATCATCAAATCAACCTCTTTACCCATAAATTGGAATCTTAACACAATTTCATCCATGCGTTTTATTGAACAACATTACAAATTTAGACTATAATTACACCACTTTAAGTTTAAATTCAAAACATATAAATCATGCATTTTCTAAACCAATAACAATTAAAAGAACCCAAATTTCTGCAATTTATCACACATCAACACGAATTAAAATCACATTTAAGCATACTTTGAGAGCATAACAACCATTTAAGCAAAAATAGAGAATATATAATTGCCCTAATTTTCTCTAACCGACAATTACACATAATTGCCATGAAAACATCAATGGAGCACAAACATAAAAGAAAAAATAACTTCGAAGCAATGTAATACAATTGAATTTTGTATAATAAAAGTGTACTAACCTGAATTGCACTCTTAATGGATGAATAATTCATAATTTGCGCAAAAAAAAAAAAAAAAAAAAAAAAAAAAAAAAAAAAAAAAAAAAAACAAACAAACCCAATTGCATGCCTCAAAGAACAAACCCTAGAATTTTGCCCACAAATTCGAAAATTCAAGTGGCACATTAGTAATTAGGTATTCAGTAGTGGGTTAGCCACAAAATAATTTAATTAGGTCACTAAGTGTATTGTTAAGAAGTTGGGTGTCACTTAATGGAACAAACACTTTGCCTTGCCACCATGTAGAATATTTGAATCTTGAGGGCTACCATATAGAATTTCCCTTGTTTATTAAAGGATTATTAATTATTAAGATTGACTTGGTCATTTAATTTTTTTTGTTACAAAGTTGGCTGGTATAACTTATTTATACTCCATCCGTAATTGGGTATTTGATTCCCTTGTACTTTTTAAAGGTATTCCGTATTAAGAAAAATGTCATTGTTAGAAATATGGAATTTTCAATAGTGACATTTTTAATGTGCATTTTATGCATCACATTTTGATTTATTTATACGCATATAATTTTTCTTCTTACTTAGCTTAACTTAATCTTATGAGTCTAGTCTGTATTTTTTTTTTTTTTTGGAAGGAGTATAGTCTGTAATTAATTATATTGAACTTGGAGCTGCGTGCTTTACTTGTGTACATAGTTCGGAATATTGAGTGAGTCCGTTTCAATGGTTTCACCGTGAAGGTGTTATAAAGTAAATTCCTCAATTCTCATCAACTATACCAAGTTTTATTTATACTACATATCTAATAATTTCGTATTTTTTACTCTATTTGATTGGAAAATATATACTTTTTTCTTTTTTAATAAAAGATAGTCTCATGAAAAACCCTAATATGAAGAGATTATAGAGATGGGATAAGTACTTTTAGTATACTTTGTAGGAGACTAGAAGTTAGACCAATGTCATTTATTACTCGGACTTGTATCAACAAAGTGTTGTCTCACTTGGTAAATTTCTTACATCAAATTCTAAAGGTTTAGGGGTTCGAGATTCTCTTACCCTCCTCTCTACTTCCAAGTGTCCGGCCCATAAATACCGAACTTAATTAAAAAAAAACTGTGATGGTTGAGATCTGGTTAGAATCCACCAAAAAAAATAAAAAAAAATTACTCATACTCGTATAAAAGTGCTACTCCGTAATAAATACAGTACAAGTATTTACCCTCAAAAAAAAAAAATTAATCATGTAAAAAAATATAGGCGATAGAATGATGATAGCTATAGGGCTACAGCATAGCGTAAGACCCCTATAAGTTTGACCTCAATAAAAATTCAAGTTTCATTTTTGTATTTTTCTCTCTCTTCTTTGTCTGTCATACATTCTGACCGCGTTCGAGCGTTAGTATTAACAATACGCCAACGTCGTCATGATCACAAAAACCACACCCTCCAATTTAATTATTTTCATTATTTTTTTTTTTGAAAGAAATTATTTTCATCATTATTCTCTCTTTGTTTGATTTTTCTACTCCGTAAATGATTTTCTTCTTACACTGTATTTTATTTTTGGTTTTATGTGCATATAAAATTAAATACTGTTGTCCAAATGCATTTATATCTCGAGAGAATAAATTAGATAGGGGGGCAAAATATGGCATAATATATTGAGGGAGTGTTGTGCAGTGAAAGAAGTTGGGTACCTATTTGGCTTGATCTGTCTTTTCCGGATTTTCTATTATATACACCTGCTTATTCTTGGATTTTGCTCGTTTTGAGTTGTGTTCTACTGTTTATCTTTTTCCTAATTTTGATTTTTGGACTTACATAAGGTTATTAATTGCCATGGTACCATGTAATTATTAAGAAACGGATGAGTATGTGAATATAATGTTAATGTGTTATGTTTCAATCAAAATGACACACCTAAAAGTTAAAATAAAGAATATGCGGAGTAGTTTGATTGTGATTCGTACTTTTTACATTAAACATAATTTGGAACTATTAACGGGTCATCCCATATGATAATGGGTATCAAATGATTTCTATTTTGGGCTAGGTTAATTTGTTAAATATACTTAAAATTATTACAGAAATAATTGATGAAGACTTGCGAGCGTGCATAAAACATGTTACTCTGTATGCATTAATAATTTTATCGATCATTTCGATTGACATTAAAAATGTGGGAATATAATTCTTTTGAAAAGTTAAGGCAAAGATCAGATCCTTTGTCGTGCTATATAATTTGACTTCCATATGATAATGAATAATCCATAAAACTAATCCGACTAATTAATCAATTTGAAAATTATGCACTTGTGCATTATATTGTTCCCTTTACCTTTAATAAGATTTACGTCTACCTAGCTAGCACCATAAATGTTGCTTGAGACTTCACACACATACACACTCTAATGGTTAATGTCCCCTAATTAAATTGCAATTCAGAAAGATGTGGCTAGCTTATAGGTTCATTTATAAACAATCAACATAGAAGATTGAGCTGATATTGCCTGTTAAGTAAATTTATTGTTTGAAATTAAAGTTAGCAATATTTTGGGTTTACTGTACAATTCACCCTTCTGAGTATACATGCTAATTGCAGAATAAACAGATGGTCTACTCCCATCAACATGAAGGTAGCTGGGTAACGTTAGATTTTTACTACTCGTAGCTGCCTATTTGCATGAGAATACCTCCACTTTAATTAACTGCTACTGCATGCATTGCTTGCTTTCTCTTTTTCTATTTTGTCTATCACTTAATATAAAGTTAAAGGATGAAAATAGTTTTTTTTTATTAAAAGGAAATTTCATATTCTTATTCTTAAATCCTAATATTTGTATAATGTTTTTTGGTCATTATTTAGTAATATTGAAATAATTAATTATTAGGATTTGATCGATCGTGAGATCATTAAACAATTCTAGGCTAACAATTTCCTCTACAAAAAAAAAAACGAGTAAATAAAAGATGGAGTAATTGGTATAGCTAGGTTAACTGGCGTAGGAGCAATAGGAGGGCGGTGTGGAGGTGGCGCCTAAAAAGAGGTGAGCAAAGTAAATGGATGTTATGGTATTTGGGAGGCTAACCATTTATTGACATTCTCATGGTATGTCCATCATAAATCATTTCACGCTACGTAATTCTTACCCGATCCTGCGCCCATTGTTGAAACATTTTTTATTTTATTCCATGGATCTACAAAGTACGGACTATATTAATTATACGGAATACATGGTATTGATAATTGTATACGTAGTACGGAATACTAGTAATCAGTAGGTCTAGTGGTAAAAATTATATCAATCGTCCAATCTCCACTATATTGTGACCTTTAGGATGATTTTTTTTTTTTTAGTTGTGGAAAGAAAAGGTTTTGCGTGAGACCGGACTCATCGTGAGTTCAATATGTCTAACAATAATATTCTAATATTTGACAATCATAATCCACTACCAAACAATAATATTCTAATACCAAACAATAATAATCTAATACTACGTACCAAACAATAATAATCTAATACCTGACATTAATATTTTTAGGGCTTATTTCTCCACACTCTCCTCTGATTTTCTCTCTCCTCAGCCTTCTCATCAATAAACGCATTTCCTCTTTCTCTCTCCTCAAGATGAAACTGTTGCATCAATGGCGGAATTTTCAATTCGATGGTCAAAGAATCACTCACCATGCTTATGTCAACGGCACGTGGCACCTTCATCATCATCATTTAGATTGTCTTCTTTGCCGCACCTTCGTCATCATCATCTGGATCATATCGTCTTTTTCGATCCTACTTCTATATACTTCGATCTTCCTATGTCAGTGGCGGCACCTTCATCATCATCATTTGAATCGTCCTCTTCGCGACACCTTCATCATCATTATCTAGATCGTCTTCTTCGATCCTGCTTCTGTATGCTTCGATCTTTCAATACTTCGATTTCCGATAAGTCACGGTGATCGTATTTGGGTGGCAGACTCACGGCGAGTCCGTCTCACCCAAAATATTTTGTTATGGGAATTCCCTAACTTTGTATTCATTGCTGCATTCATTTTTAAAATGTTTTTTATGGATTTTTTCTCAGGTTTTTTTTTTTTTTTGACATCAGCAAAGTAAAATTTCTCAGGTTTGTTAATGTCCAAGTTTGATGGTTACAAAAATGTTAATCATCATTGATTTAAAATTATAAAAAAATAAATCATAATCATCTTTAATTTAATTACAAAAATAATAATCATCTTTAATTTTAAATCATTAATTAGTAAAATTTAATAGGCGCCTAGGCCTTGTCTTCATCACATTGTCAAACCAAACTCTTAAATTGAAAAATTCCGTATATGTTCAATTTAATTCATATTTACTTAATAAAATAATAAGTTACTCCGTATTAAATCATAAGTGAGCCTTGGTCATCACTATTAATCATAATTATTTAATCAATAAGAAGCAGCTGTAATTAGTACACATAA